GTCGCCTCTTACGATCATGCAATGGGGGCAGCAGGTACAATTCTTTCGCCCTACCTGCAGGAACGAACATTCGAAGAAGCCCCACGCGTTCCATGTTTTGCTTTTATAACATTAACACCAATTCTATGCAGGGATGGAGGTATGCCCTGTCTCTAGTGTCGGAAGGGAAACAAGTTCTTGGTTGAATTTCATTATATAAAGAAATTATCCAGATACAGATGTCTAATAAACACTCCTCCAGTCGAGCTGAGAAATTATCATGAAATGTACACGTGGGTAGTATCGGAATAACAATCTCCGGAAAGGTTTGATCTTCGACAGATGTCTCCAAAATAATTTCGAATACAAAGAACTTTCTTCCTTCAAAAATACAAATCTTTGCGGAACACAGAAGTAATGACAAGGAATGCAAGAGAGTGTAAATCAGTTGTATTGCTTTACTTTTTTATGAAAAAAATGAAACATCAAAGAAATAAAATAAATCATTTAAAATAACGATTTGTGAAATCTTATTTCGACAAAGCGACTGACACCGATTACAACGACTAAATATTAGTCATATTTTAGGACGGCATCAGTGCAATGATGTCTCAAATAGTTAAAAACAACTCACTAATGGCATGCTGTCGACAAAGTAATCATGAAGGCATTGCTTATATTTGGCACTGGTTCAGTCTCACTCTGACGTTCTTCTATAAATATGACAGTATCTGGTTAAGCGAACAATAATGCTCATACGAATTATCACAGACACTACCAATGACCGTGGGGCCGATTTGTACCATTCTCAATCATGACGACTACGACGTATGCAAAATGAAATTATGACCTACGTCTTCTTTTAGTCATTTTGATATTTTGCAGCCAGTATAACAGCCTTTGGTTATTTTACTGGGTCAAAATGGAATCCATAAATCTAAATAACAAAGTACAGCATTAGGCAACCCAACCGGTTTTTGAATGCTTCTGTCTGTTCGACTCTGACTTATCATGTTTCTTCTTTTGTTTGTTCGCTTTGACGAGACAGGAACAATAATGTGAACGTTAAATTGCTGCGATATACTAGAAACACGGAAATAGTAAATTAATAATTTTATATTTGAATTAAAATAGAGACGTTCAAATACTAGTATGCAGATACCGGCAATAGTTTTTAAGTCCGATTCTGGCCGTTTTATTGGTCGTTCATCAAGCTTCCCTGATCCATGGTCAGTCCATGAAATCAGATCTTATCCCAGACCACGTTTTCGTTTTATTTACAGAATTACACCACTTACAATTTGTGTGCGAATACTCGTTTTACTAGTGTTGCATTTACGGACTCGACATTAACAGGCGTGCGATGCTGTTGTCTACCAATTAACGTTCACAACCGTAAAGAACGCGCAGTTTTACCCTACAGTGAGAAGCACAATGACAACTATGACGTCAAGGCTGTACACAGCAGCAGGCAGTGACGTAGGCTTGGTTATACTTTTGGTATTATTTAGCGTGTCGCCTTCCTCGGATTGGGTTGTTCACGGGACGATCGTAACTCCATCTTGGTAAGGAACCATTGCCATTCCCGTGTCGCCAACCAAAGCCAATGTTTGACTGTTTGATTGATCACGTGACATAATTCAACGGCAGTGACTGGCTGTTCGATGAGAGTCATCTGCAACAGCGGTATAAACCACTAGATCGTTGTTTGTGGAGGGAATGAGATTAAATGTGTATTATCGTCTATAAAATCTCCTTCATTCACGAGCACCCTCCAAATACCTCATAGTCTGTGCGTAGACCATGAAAGCAGTAGCATCCACCGGTAAACTCCGTAAACATGTCACAAGAACTCCCCTATAGAAAATCTTGAACCCCTCACTCTGATAACTCTTTAATGCGCAGTCGAGAGGGCTCCTGAACTCGCCCTTCAAGTCAGCTTGGTATCGACTCTTGACGACGTCGAAAGGCATGATAAGAAACCATGTAAAGCTTCCCGCACATCCACCTCCAACCATGTCGGCCACTATTCCGCGCGAGTCTGTCCAGCCCTTTTCCTTGAGCTTATTACTGAGGTATTGATAAGTTAGGCTATATATGCCGTACGAGGGAATATCCCGGATCATCACTAATTTGGAACCTTTGTAGAATCCCAACAAACCCTCCTTCTTGTACACATGCCGTGCGCAGTCAAGAGGCCCACTGAACCTTTTCGTGGTAACCGTTACGCCGCCTACAAAACAGAAATATTACATAAAAGTCAACACCAACTTAGACCAACACATGTATAGTGTACAACACAAACTTAGACCA